GAGAGACATGGGTTATGTGATAAAATATGTCCCCTAAGCTGTTCAGCCGGAGTGTAGGATCTTTCTGGGAGCTCTTCCCTTGACATTGTGATCCACAAAATCTTTAGCAATGACTAAGATAAAGATATAGAAGATAAATGATCTAAAGGGTGTATTTATCAAGGAGGTATTAGAGAGTGTGCTTGACAGTCAGACTTGGGTCTCATCCCAACTCTCCTAGTCACTAGCTGGATGATCTTCCTCATCCTCAATATCTCTGTCTAGTTCTTCAACAGAGACTGTCTCTCTCATTAGGTAGTGAAAAATGTTTAAAGAGATAATGCATTTAAGAACTCAGCACATATAGACTTAACATATACACTGGTGTAAAGTAAATATTTGCTTTTATTGTTTATCACCGTTCTTACTAACAATAAAATCTTAGAAAAGTTAATGGAGAAAAAGAATCATGATTCAAAGTGGATTGAATTTAAAATTAATCCAAACTAGAATATGGGACAAGGAGGAGAAATTTCCGTTCAATTCAACAATGATTTATTCAATGCCCCTTTTATGCAAAGTCTTCAAGGAACTAATAATTTAGCCACAGAGAGAGACACATAAATCAATGTAAATTATACAAAATTTGATAACTATATATATATATATCTTTCTATATATAATATATCTGTATATATACAGAGAGAGCTATGGAGATATAGAGAGACATGTAAATCAAGCTGGTTGTTGATGATATTGAATAAGAGGCGTTTTTGAGTTGAATATTGAAGGATGAAATAAATTGACTAGTTGAAAAAGGACCGAGTGGTTTTCAGGCAGGTGGAATGATACAGGCCAAGGATGGGAGTTGTGAAGCAGCATGGCATAGCATTGCAGACATTTCGCTATGGCTAAAGGTAAGCTGGGAGCACTTCAGCAAGAACTAGATAAGCTATTAAGGAGAAATAGGATTCTGGAGTTCTCAAGACCTTCAAGGGATTAGCTGAAAACCATTCTGGAATCTCAACAGTGGGGAGGGGAGAGCAGGGTCCCAGCTGGGGAATGGATAACCTTGATGTAAGGCTGTCCTCTGCTATATAGTGGTCAGGGGTGTCTGATCCAAGATGACACAATTTCCTGGAGTCCTATAAGTTGGGTGTGGTGTGACCTGACCACAGGACTCTGGACAATGATGATGCTCATATAAAGTAGAAAAAAAAGGCTTATTCTATAGGGCTTATGTGGGTTGAAGGAGAAACTTTTTTATTTCTCACCTCAGGGAGGGGTTTCAGACTTCTCTAGACCATGTGTATAAATCACCCAAGGAACTTATTGAAAATGCAGATGTCCAGGTTTTGCTCTCAGAGGTTTTGGCTCATTGGTACTGCTATAGAAATATCTGTCTTAAAAAGCATCCCAGATAATTGTGACCAGGCTGTCCTCAGAGCACAGTGTTTGAGAGGCACTTTTCTAGGCACACCTGACCTTGCAGTAAGTGCTGCAGACTATGCCCATTCCTCTTGGTGGGAATGGATTTTCTAAGAGATTTCCAGGCCCAGTTCACTGTAATGCTGGCTCTACCCAGAGCGTAGCTAACAAGATGAAGGGTCTTAATTCTTTCAGTTGGGTGCAATTAAAACAAAATTTGGGGCCCCACAGGATCATGGCTTGGCAACAACTTGAATATTTAGAGGTACATTCAGAATGTCAAAGTAATGAAAAGTCATTCCAATCTTCACTTGTCCGTCACATAGAAGATTAAAGGGGACTCGATTCATATCCTACCACAGGACATGGAAAATCCACTTTCCTTACCTCTGCAGATGTCTTTTCCCCCACATCTGTTTTAGAGTTTCTCATTCTCTAATGATTCTCCTTTGCTTTATGCCTCGTAGGCCCTGTATATCTTTGTTTAGTCCCCTGATTCCATATCATGATGGGTGCCTGGCTTGGGCCAGCAGAGAGAAAGTCTATGGATCTGGGTAAGGGAAGGATCTGTGCTGCAATGACAGAGCTTTCTTTGAGTGATGGTGGGTCATGGAAGTGGTGAGGTCATGGAGAGTCCTCCAATGCTCTGATCCAACTTTTATTTTGTTGGGTTTTTTTTTTTTTCTTCCATGAAAGATATCAGTGTTAGTTGTGAGACTCAAAAACCTATCATGGTCTATTCCCCTTCTCCCTCTCTTGGTAAATTTACTTCCTGTTCGATGCTTTTGAAGTTCTGACAAGTTTAACCTTATTGCCTTCTGTCAGGGTCTCTCATCATAAACATTTGAACTAGAGAATATGCAGTTTCCAAGGAACAAGCATTAGGGATGGTTCACTCTCCTTCCTCTTCAAGGATTGTGTTTTTGATAAGGTGCCAAGTATGGTCTGCTCTCTGAGGTCATTTAGTTTTGAGAGTGGGTGGCCAGCACCCAGGCCTCATCACTCCAAATGAAGCAACTGCTGTGCTGGTGCTCATGGCTGTCTCTCTGGCTGAGATCTGGAAATCACTAGGGGACATGGGCCAACCACTTGCAGGGAACTTCAGGTCCTGAAGGTTTCAATTTGGAGAACCCTCATTAAGAAAAAAATACATGATGTCAAATACAAAATTAGGTAAGAAAATAAATGTTAATTTTGAATGAGGAAAAAATTCACAAAACTTTAAAGTTTTGAAAGTTATCAAATATCCAAGATATCTCATAATTAAAGGAAGAGTATTTTAAAAATTCAAGTAATATCTGAGGTTACTTCATATGCTCTTTTTCTTTATTGTGGTAAGAAAACTTAACATGAGATCTACCCTCTTAACAACTTTTTAAGTGTACACTGCGGTAGTTCTAACTAGGCAGAATGTTGCATAGCAGGTGCAGACCTTAACTATGTTGCTGTTGTCTGGAGAACACGTGGAAAGCCTAAATATTTGGGAGAGATTATTCAGGGAGTATTCAGATAGTGGCAAAGTATTAGTAAGATGTCTAACTATGTATAATTTGGAGTGTCCAAATTTAATTACCCCATGAATGGAGTTAGTAGCAAATAAAATCTCTAAACTATATGACTGTTACGTTCTAATCCTTATGACCTTTTGCATATCTTTAAGATTACTGCAACGGGTTGCACAAATATTGTGATTATTTGAATCCACATCAAAATGTAGAGGCCTAAGAAATTGATTAACCATTGTATAGGCTGTTTTGTTGGCTAGATAGATACAGGTATTGCCATTCCTAGACTGTGGCCAGATGATGGCAAAGCATGTTACCAAACAAATCATGGGGATTTTTATGATCTTAAATGAAAGGTCAGAGCAAAATCTTATAAATATGTTAAATCAAAGCAGATGTAGAAAATCGTGTTAAAATGTCAAATAGTACTGTAAAGGAATAGTTCCATTATTGTTTGAATAATAGTTAAATTTTACACATTAAAATAGCATTAAGATTGAAATATAATGTAGACACCCTAAGAGTAAAAAAAAAAAAAGTCAAGGATTTTATACCTTTAATTGAAGCCTGCTCTATTTTATTCATTGGAATAAAATTATAACCTGTCAAGATTTCTTGAAGCTCTTTATATAATCATTTTTACCGACCAAATTTAGACAGAATACTGTTATTTCTTAAATGACCTTATTAAGTTGTAGTTATTTTTAAAAATGAAGAAGTACTGGTTTATTGGATTCTAATTAATGCATTTATCATCGTTTCACTAAGGTGTCTTCAATGGTTATAAAGTTTAGTATGCATGACCTGGGAATTTGGTTACTATCATCTATGTTTATTTTCTAGTTTTACTGATTGAAACTTCTATTAAATCAGTGTATACTTAAATAAATTTCTTCATAATGATTCAAGATTTTTGTTAAATTACATATAGAATGAAATAATCACTTACGGGTTAATTTGACCTATACTTCTTGAAAAATAAAATTGGTTTTGTGCCCTTTATGCTGTTTTATGATGCACTGCCAGACTTTATCCAAGTCTATATATTTTATATTTTTCAAAAGTGTGTACTTATATTAAGGAGAGCATTTATACTTTAATTTTCTTTTATTTTTAAATTAAAAGCAGTACATGCTTATCGTAATGAGCCAAGATGTAAAGAGAAAAAAGCAAGTCTGCCCTCATTCATTCCAATATTTTTACAGCTTTCTCCTTGCTCATTTTGTATACTTTTTATTGCTTATATATTATTCCTTATATTTATTGTTCATGCCATAATTTGTTATTTTAAATATGCAAAGCTCATGGTGTGTCAATGGCAATTTCTCTGTGTGATGACTGTGGGATTTGATCATTAGTTATTGCTCTAGGAGGCTAAATTGTAGACTTTGTGGCAAACTAGTAAATTTGATATTTTAATTCAAAGTTGGCTTTTTATAGATTCATAGAAAAGGTCTTGGCAGGATGGGTTACATTTTTCTGTTGTGTACTCCATTGTATTCATTTGTTCGCATTATGAGAACAAATAGTAATCTGATGATAGCACTGCATAACGCGTTATGACTGTTACTGACTAAAACATCTATGCTAACCAAATAATATCCTAGGGTCTCAGCCTTGTTAGATTATTCTAACAGAGACGTGTAATTTACATTTTACTAAACATTGTAAAATTTCATACTCTGAAAATTATTTGGACATAAAATTTTCATGTGGAAGGTAAATGCATAGCATATTGCCTTTCAGACTCTCCCCAATCTCAGGAGTGTTTGAGGCTTGGCCATGAAATGCAAGGAAGAGAATAAAGATCAGTCAAGTGAAAATAGTAGAGTTCAGAATTCCTGACTCTTGTAATCGCTCGTTTACCAGATCCTATTACGTGATTAAATTAAACCCATATCTAGTTATTATGTATTTATGATACCAAGAACTACTTGTCTTTAGCAACATTGACATAATTTTGTTATTGCAGACATTTATTTATAGAAGATAATTGCATGTATAATTATAACTGTCCCGAAAAACTAAAAGAATGCTTGATAGAATATCCAAAGTTACATATTTATATATAACTATTATATATTTAAGATGGCTGATCACACTGAAGTGATGAAAGGCATTCATCAACATCCAGGCGTTCGATATCCTGTCCTTACTCCTAATCTTCAGGGTTTTCACCGTGCTGTAAGTGTGTAACTAATTTTTCTAAAATCGATATGCTTCTTTTTGTTTTAAAGATCTTTACAAAGTCAAAATGGTGTCATATGTAACTCACTTTTTATCCTGCATAAATACTGTGCCAATTTACTCACATGATACATGGAGAGAGTAACCTCAAGGCATTCCTAGGGACTAGAGCACTCCCCATAAATGGCTCTTCCAGAATCAAAATAAAAAAATACAATTATCCATTTGGATGAAATTCTTTTGAAGGTATATTTTGTGCTTCCCTCTTGAATAAGGAATATGGAATATAACAAACATTTCTTAATACGATATTATAATTATTAATGTTTTTATGGTGGATAATTATTTTTGTTAACTTTTTTTGGGTCAGCTCTCTCTTGCTCTTCTCTCCCTCTAAGGGAAGCTAATTGCTGTCATTGGAACTGTGTCTAGCAACTTTCCCTATTTCTCTTCTGGCTTGTTTCTTCCAATCCTATGTGACTTAGGAATGTATATGCTAAAAGCTTTAATAATTACATATACAAGAAGAATCAATGCAATTTAAGTAAAAGCTTGAAGTCTTATGCTTATACAGCTTTAATGTAAAAGTTTTGCAGCAGCCGATTCTGGAATTAATGGTTATTTTTCACTTTTGTATTTGGGACTGTGTTGCGTGAAGTTGAGGTTGTGAGGGCTAACTGGCATATGGCCGTTAGTGTATCTTGTTGAAACCACTTTTCTTTTGTTTGATTTGGTAAAATTTTTTATTGCATTGTAAAGAAAGAAAAAGGCATTTTGAAAAATTGGAAATATGGCTGCCATCCGGTGCTAACAAAGTAGGGAGTGTTTCCACTTTGAGAAAGATACTATCTCAGAGGACACCCTCATACGATAGCTTAGAAGAGCAAGTGATGAGGTGGAACAAATCTTCGTTTGGGAGTCAGGCAAGCCTGTGCTCAAAACATGGCCCCAGGACGTTTATTAGCTTTGTGACCTCATACTAGTGATTTAGCCTCTTTGAGCCACAGTTTTCTCATCTGTAAAAGGGATGTAATAATACTTAGTTGACAAGATTGTTTGTGGATTAGAAACAGGGCATGCAAAGTACTAACAAGGATAATGGCACATAGTAGCTGTTCAATAATTAGAATTTTAATTTTAGAGGTTAAAATTTTACTTTGGATGGAGGAATAGAAGTCAATATTTTTAAAACTGTTGGAGGAAAGATGACAGATTTTTTTTATTTCTTAATGTATTACTGGGTATCAGAAAGAGAGGGGAATCTAGGCACAATGCTAGAGATACATTAACAGACAATCTTAAAAATCCAGGTGGAAAACTAGGAGGCTTGACCTTTGAAATCAAGTCACTAGAGAAGCCTTGGGGAGGAGTGGAGATGGCAAAGGGGCAAAGGGAAATCAATGAGGTTGACAGTGGATTTAAAGACTGGCGAGAGGATTAAGGCATTAGACACCCAAGAGTATGGTTGATGGTTGCAGCAGTCAAGGTATGGAACAATAGAAGCTAGGTTGAGTTAGGAAGAAAATTTGGGGCAAAATCTAAATAATGAATTGGAAAAACATTTTTCCATTGGATTGTAGGAAGAGAAGAAAACAGCATTTACTATCCTCTATTTTAATAATTTGTCTAAAAATAATGTTTTCCATAGATGTTAATAAGTTTTATTAGGGTGCTAGTGTTTTCCATAATTAGGGTTAAAGTATTTCTGAGGATAACATGTAATTTAGGAAAGGCAAAATGAAATTGGACCATTATCACTGTGTTTTTATGCCTCGTAGATATATGAGTGTTGCAGTTTGTGGCAGCATTCTGCTGTTATAAAATGTTTTTACATCGAAGAAGTGTATATGTGGCAAGATGAGAGGAATCTAATTTTAAATTCTAAGGCAAATGTTAAAGAATTACAAGTATGCTTTTATAGAGTAGTTAATATTTCTTCTACCGCTGTCATTTACAGTTTTGAAATTATTAGCTGTTGCCTTTAAATTATGTTTTTCAGGTTGCTGCTGGAGCCACTGAGATATCAGTTTTTGGTGCTGCATCTGAATCCTTTAGCAAGAAGAATATTAACTGTTCTATTGAAGAAAGTATGGAGAAGTTTGAGGAGGTTGTTAAGTCTGCAAGGCACATGAACATTCCAGCACGAGGGTACTAATGAAATACCACAAATTCTATTTAGCTAACTTCCATTGTGAAAGCTCAGTTACGAACCATCTAGATCCCGTTTTACCATTTAGACTAATTTACACAGGGTATCTTATTTGTATGCTATGTGATCAGGGCCATCACTGTTTAATGATACATCTCATTAATATCAGTTACCAATTATTAGGGTGTATCTAGCTTGTGAAGTGTATGATGCAGTTGGCATCATAGAGACTAGTATGCAACTCTGACATTGTTACTTATTAGTACTGAATTATCTAAATGCCACCATCTTTTCGTCTCAGCCGAGTGTGAGTTGATAAATTGGTGTAAACTCATTATAGCATTTGGAGAGGAATCATCAACTGTTGTTTCCAAATATTTTTTTAATTTTTTTGAGAACCATGACTTTTCTTCCAAGAATATTTTATGTAGAACTTCAACAGAGTATGTAAAACCTAAAACTGAGCCTTTGAGCTACATTGGGAAGTTGACTCCGTCGTTTCACCCATTCAACCTCTCCCTCAATGCTGAATTCCCTGCTTTCTCTCTGTGTCCCCAAAGCAAAGGTATATGAGGAGGAAGAGAGAAAACCTGCTTTGGTTATTGTCTGCTTCCAGGACCAGCAGTGGCAGCCTCTATTGAGAACAGGCTCTACACCCAGGCCTGTGTTCTGTGAAATGCATAATAAATTCTGTGTTACTTAAGAAAGAAGTTGTTTCTAAGACGTTGGCTAATTTTCTATTGATTTTTATAGTTATGGAGATATGATAAGCATACCTATCATCTTAATAAATTAAACTGCGTGGCATTTGTAAGAGAAGGCTGAGTGCTCTAATTGGATTTAGATGCAGGTAGGACTTCCTGTGGTTGAGGTGAGCAAAATTCACAGTGGCAGGAAGGGTTCAGTGACTAATAAGAAAGACAAGTGGATCCAATTCTGAGTGACAGTATTAGAAGAAGATTGGAATTCATCCAAGGTCACTTGGATAGCAAATAGAGTTAGACTACGCCACAGTGAATGATCTTGCTGGTTTGCTTACTTTTTTTTAACATCTTTTCCCTCTCTCCATAGTAAATTTCCAACATGAGTTTTTAAAGATGTAAAATAATTTTTCTTATTAAAATATATGCATGTCATACAAAGCACATACAAGAAAATTTAAAAATCAAGAATGTATTTCCATAGACAGAAAGTCGAGGATGTGTATTTTTAAGGCAAAAGTTACATAACCACAGTCAAAAAGGAGAGATGGACGATAAGTTTCAAAATTGAAACATCCATAAATTGTTTTGTCTTGCTTTCCTTTGAAAGAATGGGAAAAATGAAGAAGCTTGTCTATTTCAATATGTGTTTCAATGTGGAGTATAGGCTTTAGAGGAAAGTAATTCTCATTGGAAAGGATCCTATAAGAAGTAGAGTGCATGCGCACTTCAAATAGGAAGATTTTTTTAATGTCAAAAGATGGATGTAAACATAAATTGTGTGATATCAGATCTTGTCATCCTAGTTTTCTCTTATAAAATAGAATAGATCATGCAATAAAGCTAACTGAAACCGTAAATCCTCTTTAATACTGATTGTTGAACAATTAATATTGTCCCATCAGTAAGGAAACTTCTAACTATGCTACAACCGAAAAAGTTTTCCCAGGTTTTGATAAAAAGGGCACAGATTACAAGACAAACAAGAAGTGGGCCACAGTTGAATAAAATCGGCAAAATACATTGGCGACTTGGTGTAGAGTTATACGGTAGACAAAAAGATGTTTTCCAATGCTAGTTTGTTACTTTGGAGCACTCCTGGATTTTCTGAAACTCTTCATTTTTAGAAATACGCCTTTCAGTATGTGAGTTCACTATTCATTGTGCAGTTGAAAATTATATTCTTCTTCCCCCAAACTTTCACAGAATTTAAATTACATTTTATTTTTCCTGGCCATCTAGATTTTAGGCACTCATTATTATGAGTCACACACCATTGGTGCTTGTTTAAGGAAAAGAGCCATGCTCAGCTAGTTGAAACTGAAGTAGATACTTCAGTATGTCTTAGTATGACAGCAGCTGCATCAACATACACTTGATCCTCATCCAGAAAATTTATGTCTTCATCTGTCAGATTTAAAGGCCATAAGGCAGTACACGTTTTATAAATGCTCACTAAAACCATTTAAATTTTTATAAAAATAGTAAACTTTTGTATGGGCTAAATAGCAGCTTTTATTAAAGTTCCGAAGGCTGTTGTTTGATTCCCTCCCTCCCCGAAACACACACACACACACACACACACACTCATGTGTATGTTTTTTATACATGCTCAGAACTTTACATAACATCTGGGACACATTGGGAAAAGATACCATGCCAAACCATTGACATAAAATGCGGAGTCAGCTAACTACTGCTGCATATACATTATATGTGAATGAGCAATGAAATGTCTATCTTTTGGACTTCATTCTTTAATGTGTAATTCACATGACATGTTGAAAAAAATCTAGGTTATTTTTCTCTTATCTGTCTAAATTTTTAAAAAGTTAAAAAGGCAAAGAAAAATAAAAGCCTGTGATAAATGTAATCATTTTCTCTCTTTTTATCCATGGCATGCATTGAAAGAATTCTCTCTTAGTTTGTCAAGATCTTTTTAAAACTGAAAGGCCTGTGATAAATGTAATCAATTTCTCTCTTTTTATCCATGGCATGCATTGAAAGAATTCTCTCTTAGTTTGTCAATATCCTTTTAAAATTGAAATGCCTTCATATCTTTATATTTAGGATATGAAGTAGTGCTCTAATATATATATTAGACATTCAGGTTTTATTCCTTTGTGTTTAAAGCGAGTATCAGCTTCTCTTTAATGAAGTCACAAGAATCACATGCTCACTCTCTTTGTGAGAATAATAATTTAAAAAGGAAACTGTCACTAAGGTACCATGATTAATTTCTCTATTAAAAGGCTTACAAATATAAATTCATAAGGTCAGCCGTTGTGCATCTCAAAGCAAAGCTTTTTTACATAATTATGGCTTAGGCCTCTCCTGTAAGATGGCTGATCTGTGATTAACCTCCTGAAAGTTGAAAGAAGTGTATTTGTAACATCTCTCCTAGGGGCCAAACAAAAGTTTTCATCCATCATTAAAAAAATTACAAAATGTAAGAATATTTAACTGTGAACTATAACTGCTCAACTTCTCAAATTCCCAGAACAAGTAAATGTGCAAAATAATGAGAACAAGGAGTAAAAGGCACATTAGTAATTAAACCAACATAGACAATGGTAGATAACTTTTAGATACAGAAAAACAAAGACAATTGTAGGATGTGATAATGTTTTACTTTGGTCATTAATTTCTATATAAAATATCCTTAATATTTATCAACATTTAGGAGGGGATGAGGAATCAGGGCTCCCCACAGCCGTCATGCATCTACAGTGCGTATTTGATACATCTCTTCATCTAGTGTCTATCACCCTCGCCTCCTACTCTCCTCGGATCCCAAACCAGTGAAAATCCAATCTGGTTTTAAAGGTTCTGGATAAGATTGTATCATGTGTATTAGTGACCATTTTCTTTGATGAAAGACACTCAATATTAGGAAATTCTTCCTGTGCTGAATTATATTTTGACTGTGAAATAAGAGCACAGTTTTTTTCCCTCGAAATGGTCAATTTTCACTGGTATTCCCTTTGAGAGAGAATTTATAACTCAGTACACTTATTCAAGAACTTGAAACCTGCTTGTTTGATAGCCAAACCAGCTAGATGATATTGTATTTCCTGCCCTTCCCCTGTCTAATGCAAAATATCATTATGGGTTCTGATCCTGACCCTGAAGGTAATAGCAGTCTTATTGAGTGAGATAATGAGCCTCCTTATTAAGGGTTCAGTTTTTTAAAAACATATTGACTGGCAGGTGGTGTTTCTCATGACTGATGTAGCGAATACCTTCCATCGGGTGACCTACCCCAGTGGAATTCACTTGCACCATCTTCTTATAAATGGACAGCTTATTGGTCAAGTCCATTTCCAACTTCTACTGTTAAAGTGAGTCCTTTCTATCGGTCTGGCAGAGCAATTCAAATCTTCATTTACCAAAATATGGTTCATAAAACTCTAAAGTGAGACATCTGTTAAAGCTATTTTCCTCCATACATATGGTTTGTTTGAGGGTTTATACTTTTTTTAGCCTTACATATTATCCCATCATTGCTGTGTGCCAGAATAACACATATAGTTAATATGTGTAAGCTGTGTTTGTGCAGTCATGTTTAATAGCTTTCGTATAGAGCTTTTGAGGAAAGAATGTGTTTTGTCATTTCTCATGAAATTAGCATTTTAGAGCAAAACGAGAATTTTAGTAGAATTGCTCCTTGAGACCAAAGGACAGTCTTTATTTCTTATATCATCCACAGTGATAAGTGCTTAATAGGTGCTCAAAATTTGCTTTTGGTTGGCTTATAAATAATGGAATGCTATTTTGTATTCTGTATAGTGCATCAAAGCAGCTCCTGTATTTAAATGTCTTAATTACCTTTAATTGACATTACTATCATCTCATCACTCTTGGCATTGTTTTTCTCTTCTGAGGATAGCCCTTGTTGGCTCTCCCCACTCCAGGTGTTTGTGATATTTATTCAAGGCTTTTACCCATCCCTTTGTTTCTTTTTGTTAGGGTGATTGGGGGAACATGGGGTAATTGTGGGAAGGTAGGCCTGAGGACGGCCTGACTGCCGGTGCTTTTCCATGACTCAGTTCTACTGGGTAATGTTGTTAAAGACTTGAATACCTCAGTTTTATCTTTTATGATTTTGCAAAATACTGATAAATGGCCCCAACAAGCATTCACAAAAATTTTTTAACTCACATTTCTATCTGCGTAGTTTATTATAACACTATGCTTTTTGTTAATTTTAGCACAATTAGCTTCAATACAGTTGGTGATTTCTGTATTACTCTGTCATACTAAATAATGTTTAAAACATGGTTCCAAATATGTGCTAT